GTGAATCAGTGAAATAACCGATCTTGCCTCTTAGCCACATAGGCACATATTCCACAGTGGCTTGAAGGCGAACCATGTTAAAGAATATCTTTTTCTAGTCAACTCTGATTCTTCTGACAACCTTCTTAACTGAAGTTCTACTTTTATCCTTAGCATTATATCAATATTATTGAATGAATTATTTATTTATATAATTGACAAATCTTTTTGTGTTATATCTTTTTTAGTTATTCACCATGTGTTTTGTCCTCGCTAATCTAATTTAACTTGAATTTTTATTTTATTTTTTATATATAGATTTGTGTTTTAGAAAGTAGAGTTGGTGTTTTGAAGAATGATTTGGATTATATTTCAATTTATCCAATCTTACTTAGTGTCATTTTTTTTTAAATTTATAGTATTTCATAACTAATTACAAAATTTTCCATAACATATTATATTTATATCGGTGTTATTTATTTTAAAATATATACTATAAAATATATTTTAATTTTACTTTTTTACTTCTTTAATTCTATGATTTATTTACTTATATATAGTTTTAAGATTTGTACGTTAAAGTGAACTAATAGAATTGGCTTGATATTGTTTCATGTATCATTTGGTCTTAATTAGATAAGTTTGATGTTAAATAAATAAATTCAACAAAAATTAGAATTAGATAAAGGTTAAGATAAATTTGTCTCAATATTTTTTTATAAACAATCATATACATATATTGAAATATACATATATTGAAAATACTAAAACTACATTCTTTTGAATATATTCTTTTTTATTTAGTTAAAACTTATTAAAAATCATAAAATTTGATAGATCTTACATTTTACTTAATAAGTATGTCTTATGATTTGTAATTCTCAATTAATTTTAATTAATTAAAAAAGTGCGTTAAGAAAAATATATTAAAGTTTGTGTTGTTAGTACAATTCCCATTATCTTTATAATCATTAGGATAATATTATAAAAATAAATAAATTAACATTACATGATGAAAATTTTATAGGGTGGCATCTCAAAAAGTGTCAGTTAAACAATACTTTACTAATGAAGTAAATAAAAAGTCCAAGAAAAGTAATGTTGTGGGACTATAAGAAACCTTTTTTCCGGCGACTAATAATTTGCTTGAGTATTGTTTTAGGGAAAAAAATAAGCCTGTAGGTTTAATTTGTTTTCAAAAGAATGGGGGTCCTTTTAAACAAACTAAAATAGAGTTTGCTGACTTTCACATAAAGGCACATATTAACAATTCCCATTTGTACTTCCTGATATAAGTGTACTAGCGTGTAACTGAAGGATTTCATCTCTGCAAAGTGCAGAAGCAAAACTTTTAAAGAGGACCACACTTTATTAGCATCTGCTACATGATTAGAATTTGTTCTCCTTCAGTTTTTCTTTTCCATGCTATCTTTTTCCCTTTTTTGTCTTCTGTTTTAAAAAATGTTTTAAAGCAGCATTAAACCAAACAGAAACACAACTAGGAATATATATATCAGGATAAGCCAACCCAAGCTCATTTGGGTGATTCCTTTTAACCACTTCAGAACCAGCACTTGTTGCTTGCTTGCATGGATCTTTGTCACAAAATGCTTCAAGTTGATACCCTCATGAGATTTTGACTCAACATGCACATATCATCCAATAGCAAGTCCTGGCCAGAGACTATGTTGGCTGACTTTAATTATCAAAGAAAAAAGGGCCATATGGCTGACTTTTTAGTTAAAAGTTTAAACTCTTTTATGTTTGAATAAATAGTGAACATTTCAGGGTCTATTCACCTTCTAATTCAGCATTAAGCCAAATTAAAATCTAGTAATTAATCCACATAATATTCTGATTGTTCCTAATGTGAGTTGATTATTTTATTTTGTGATTGTGATATGTCAATACAAACAAAAGGAAGTGACGAAGAGATTTGGTATGTGGTATGATGTTGAGTCACAAAAGCAGGCATGAGTTAAAGAAAGGGTAGGTACAATATTTTGGGGCGATGCTGATTTGGGTCTTCTGTAGATCATTGACAACTCTTTTGGCTTCTAATTAATCCTAGTAATTTAAAATGTATTATATTCCAACAAGATAAGACATGTCTAACTCGTAACTTCCGACTCATCAATCCAACACCCTCAATTATTTTATCGTAACGAAGCTTCAACATCACAATGGCTTCATCACCCCATTACTGGGGAAATTATAAACTTTGTTAAGAAGGGCATTAGAGTGAGATTCTGATCGATATATATCTAAGAATAATAAGCACAAGTGGCTCTAAATGCACTTGTACTGTACATGGACAACTAGACACCACACAACCATCATATCTTTGTGAGACACTGATTTAAAAACTCAATATCACTTCTTTCTTTCTTTCTTTCTCCCTTAACTTTTTCTCACCATTATTGACGGATTTTGCGGACCCCTTTAACTTCCAGAATAGGAGTTACATTATTACCAATAAAAATAAAGATTGTGCACAACCAGCGACAACTCGATCCACTATCTTTAGTGTATTTGGTCCTTTTCTAATATGTTGAGCATATAGAGTTTGCTTTTTTGTTTACTGAGAATGTATGTGTCCCTCTTACTATATTGTCTACCATGCGTTAATTATTTGCCGTGCATACTGTGAGTAACAACAAAATGAAGTCCATCTTATGTCTTGGATGGACCATACCGTGACCAATCCCACGTTTACTGTACCAGTGTCTATGTCTTGGTGTGTGCATGTAACTTGTGGCCACCCTTACTAGATCTTTTCCATATCAAATTTGTGGCTCGTGAAACACTAAAAGTCCAAGATCAATGAATGTAGCAATCTGCCACTGCTCCATAGTTTGCAGGATCCAGTATGGGAACCTATAACTGTGTAATGATTTTTAACTAAAGTATTTTCTCCTCGAAATTTTCTTTTAGTCAAATCCTCCTGTGTAATGGAAGAAAATTATTAAGTAGTTGAGAAGACAATCATTGTCAATCACTGCACTATGCATTTAAGTTTTTTAATTTCAAAATAAATTACTATCACTTTGTTAAAACTAATTAAGGATCATGTGTGATTTAAGATCATTTAATAGTTTTTCGTGTTATTGAGTATATGATTACTTAAAAAGAGAAAGACACTTGTTTTTAAAAATTAAAATAAGGGTCCATTCTGATTAGTTATAAGACTTGCAAGTTATATTTGATAAAATAAAAATTTGCCTTTCTCCTTTCAACATGATCATGCTATGTTGCTCAACATATAACAAGATTCAAGTCCGTTTTAAAGCTTGAGAAATTATGATGTATAATTCACCCTTTTTTTGGTACATTTCTGGGACAGTTGTTTTCCTTTTGATTTTAACAATATTATTAAGACGCGTGTGTAAAAAAAATGAAAATTATAGATAAGTATATACAATATGATATTCAAAATTTGATGATGCAATAATAGAACTCTTCAAGATGTGTCATCTCAGTTAATTTAGTTGTCAAATATTTCTCACGTTTAATGCATTTTAAATAAAATGCTATTTTCTTCACACCCAAAACCTTGTATTGCTCTGTTTTATTTATTTATTTTTTTAATGCATGCCCATTAACATACATCATATGACTTTCTTCTCTCTCTCTCTCTCTCTCTCTCTCTCTCTCTCTCTCTCTCTCTCTCGCTCCCTCT